GAAGTCTCACCATCCTCGCTTCTAAGGAACATTTTGGCTGTACTTCTTCCAAGACAGATTTGTTCGTTCTTTGGGCAGTCCATGGTATATTCAGTACTCTTTGCCAACACGATAATTCAAAGGCATCAGTTCTTCTTCAGTCTTCCTTATTCACTGTCAAGCTTTCGCATGCATATGAGGCAGTTGGAAATACCATGCTTGGGTCAGGCACATGTTAGTCTTCAAGGTGATATCTTTGCTTTTTAACACTTAAAGAGGTCTTTTGCAGCAGATTTCTTGACTGCTCCTTCCTTGGCCATTGATTGTAGATCCAAGTAAAATGAAGTCCTTGACAACTTCAGTATTTTCTTCATTTATCATGATATTGCTTATTGGTCCACTTGTGAGAATTCTTGTTTTCTTTATGTTGAGGTGTAATCCATACTGAAGGCTGTAGTCTTTAATCTTCATCAATAGGTGATTCAAGCTTCAAATTTCAATATTGAAGGGTTCTATGGAGAAAATATTGAACGACGCAGAAAGCATCAAAAGAAGATGGAAGGAATACACAAAGGCACTGTACCAAAAAGAATTGGTCGACGTTCAGCCATTTCAGGAGGTAGCATGTGATCAAGAACCAATGGTATGGAAGGAGGAAGTCCAGGCTGCACTGAAGGCATTGGTGAAATACAAGGTTCCAGGAATTGATGGAATACCAATTGAGATGTTTCGGCAAACGGCTGCAATGCTGGAAGCACTCAGTCATCTATGCCAAGAAATTTGGAAGACAGCTACCTGGCCAGCCAACTGGAAAAGATCCAAATCTGTGCCCATTCCAAAGAAAGGTGATCCAACAGAATGGGAAATTATTGAACAATATCATTAATATCACACACAAGTAAAATTTTGCTGAAGATAATTCAAAAACAGTTGCAGTAGTACATTATTGAGGAAATGCCAGAGAAATTCAAGACAGATTCAGAAGACGATGAAGGGTATCATTGCTGATGTTGGATGGATCTTGGCTAAAAGCAGAGAATACCAGAAAAATGTTTACTTGCATTTTCTTGACTATGCAAAGGCATTCAACTGTGTAGATCATAACAAATTATGCATAATATTGCGAAGAATGGGAATTCCAGAACACTTAATTGTGCTCATCAGGAACCTGTGCATAGACTAAGAGATAGTCGTTAGAGTAGAAGAAGGGGATACTGTGTGGTTTAAAATGAGGAAAGGGTGTGCCAGGTTTGTATCTTTTCACCGTACTTAGTCTGTATGCTGAGCAAATAATGCTAGAAGCTGGACTATATGAAGAAGAATCGGGCGTTAGCATTGGAGGAAGACTCGTTAACAGCTTACAATATGCAGATGAAACAACTTTGCTTGTTGAAAGTGAAGAGGACTTGAAGCGCTGATGAAGATCAGACTGCAGCCTTCAGTATGGATTACATCTCAACATAAAGAAAACAAAAAAGATAATCTGTTAGTGATAAGTGTTAAGGAGAATAGTAAAGCCAGGAGGGGATAAGGATGTGTGTGTGTTTATGTGTGCAGTGGGGCTGATTGTACTTTAGTTAGGGTTGCTAGGGTAAGAGGTGACGTTTGTGTCTAGACTTTAATGAGGTGAGGTAGCAAACCATGTTGGTCTCTGGGGGCACAGATGGTCCAGCAGAAGGAACAGACATGCAAAGGCCTGAGGAGAGGACAGGTGAGTGGCATGATTGAGAAGCAGAAGGAAAGCCAGTGGAGGAGTGGGCTGTGTGGGGGAGAGGGTAATAGGAGATGAGGTAAGGAAGGTAGGTGGAGCTAGATCATATGGGACCTTATAAGCTGTTATGTGGCCTTTGGCTTTTATTTTGAGTGAGGTGACAAGGTCTGGAAGGGATTTGAGCAGAGTAACATGATCTGCCTTATGTTTTAACAAGATGGCTGGGGCTGCTCTTTTGAGAATAAACTAAGGGGCTGAGTGCAAGGGTGGAAATGGGGAGACCAGTCATTTGGAGATGAGGGAAATTCCCAGTGAGAGATGACTGTGACTTGGACGTGCTTGGTGGTAGGAAGGTAGTGAGAAGTGGTCAGTTTGGGATATACTCTGAAAATATATGTGTAGATGACAGGGTTTGCTGGCAGGTCCAATGTGGGATGAAAGAGAAGGAGAGAAGCCAAGGATGACCCCAGATGTTTTAGATTAAGCAGCAGGAAGGATGGAGTCGGCACTTTTTAAGAGGGGAAGACAGTGGGAGAAGTAGGCTTAAGAGGGGAAATAGAGTTCTGTTTTGGACAGGTTAAATTTGAGTTGTTTACTAAATACTCAAGTGATGTTGTTGAGCAGAGAGTTTGATGTATGAGTCTGGAATTTAGGGTAGAGGCCCATCTGGAAATAGAAATTTAGGAGTCATCAGCATTTAAAAAAAAAAAAATCCCGTTGCCATCGAGTTTACTCTGAGTCATTGGCAACCCCACGTGTGTCAGAGTAGAACTGTGATCCGTAGGAATTTCAGTGACTGGTTGGTTTTTTTTTTTTTTTTTTTGACTTCTCATCAATCATATTGGATTTTTAAAATCGTTATAAAAACATATATAACACAACATTTACCAATTCAACATTTTTCAGGTGTACAATTTAGTGACATCAATTACATTGGTCATGTTTTGCAACCGTAACCCATGATTGTTACTAATTTTCCCATCACCATAAACTCTCTCCCTACAATAGCTGATTTTTTGGCAGTAGATCACCAGGCCTTTCTTCTGAGGCACCTCTAGGTAGACTCGAACCACCAACCTTTCTGTTGGCAGCCAAGTGTGTTAACCATTTGCACCACCCTGGGACTCCTGTTTAAAGACAAATGTATATAATTTGTGTGAAGACTTTATTTTATTTTTGCCTTTTGGAACCATTTCATTTATTATGGGAATGGAAACGGTCAACAGAATTTTAAGTGAACCCGCAAGAGAAACAATTTACTACAAAACTGAAATCAGTAGTCTGAGTTTTGTTTTGGTTTCTGTCCCACTTATTTTGGGCACAGGAAGTGTTTTTATTAAAGATTTCTTTATTATTTTCTGAGAGAAAATTCCTCTTGTTAAGACAGTTTCACAGTTAGAATTTAAAATTTTCCTGAGTATTTACAAGAAACACCAAGTGTCTAGGAGTAACAATTTATGCAGCGAAATACTTTTGTCCACTTCGTTAAGCAAATAGGAATTTACCAGGTATTTCATGACCTAAAATAATTCATGAAAGTTGCTAACTCACAGCCAAGGTATTTCAGAGAGGTATATAATAAAAACAGAGGCTAAAAGTTAGACAAATTTTTTGCTTCATTCATGTCTGCAACTTACGAGCCATGGAATTTGGACAGGTCACCTTTCTGATATTCAGTTAAGTCATCTGGAAGATGAGAACAGTAACTTCCCTGTTTACCTCATGGCTTCATTCATGGATTCATTGAACAAGTATGTGCTGGGAGGCATTGTTCTAGGGCTGGGCTGCAACACTGAACAAGACAGACATGGTTCTTGCTCTCTTGGAGCTTCCAATTTAATGGATTATGGCAGACACTAAACAAAGTGGAGCTGAGAGCCCTGTATACACTGTAAGGTACTGTGAAAACATTAGTGTTATTCTTGATGCAATTAAGTTTTCTTCCTGGAAGAAGTTCAGGTTCTCTCTCATTTGAGTGATGTATTGATAGAAAACCCAAATATCTAAAAGAAGTGTCTTAGCCTGGGTTCTCTAGAGAAGCAAAACCAGTAAAGCATATATATAGAGAGAGATTTATATCAAGGAAACAGAGCATACTATTGTAAAGGCTGGAAAGTCCCAAGTCCATGGATCAGGATAGAGGCTTCTCCTGGTTCACATAGCTGCGGGGGCTGGCAAACTCAAGATTGGCAGGTTGGAGAGCAGGGCTTTTGCTCACAGACTGTGAAGATCAACGAGTCCCAAGATCGGCAGGCAAGCTGATATCTCAAGTCCCAAGAACTGGAAGTCAGATGAACAAAAGGTAGCTGCAGGATCCAGAGAGGGCAAAAGCCAGAACATCCACTTATATTTGGATACAGGCCACACGACCAAGGAAACTCCCTTTCAGCTGATGGGCTACTCACAGCAGATCCCATCATGGGCATGATCACTTATAAACACTGAGAATCATGGCCTAGCCAAGTTGACTCACAATCTTGAGCATCATGAAGTGCTAGCTACCTCTTGTCAAAGAAGGGTATGCACATGCCCCGTACACACAGAGTAGGCAGTTACGAAGTATTCATTGAATGAATAAAATAATAGTGTTATGATTTGAAAATTCAGTGTACTCAGATATGGTTTCTTATCTTGTTAAATATTCAGAAATTTTATTAATGACATTTTGAGAAAAATTGGAGTTATGTCTGGCACTCTCAAGAACGTAGAGGTGATCCATGCAGAAAAACTTAACTCAAAATTAAAAATACTGACTTCTGGAGAGTGCACATCATTTATATACTAGATTTCCAAATGTTAACCAGAATAATTTAATTGTTTGGAAAATGTTAGTCACAGTATAAAATATCTAATGTTTCTGATTATGGATATTGAGGTAAAACCCTAAATTTAAAGGCCAACATGATTTATTGAATTACCTTGGGAAATCAAAGGAAAGTTCAGTTCCTGACATTGTGTTTCTACATAAAGCATGCAAAACGAGAATAATTTTTTTTTCCCCCAGAGAAGTTATGCATTTAATGGGAAACAACTTGAGTGATAGCGTATAGCATAGGTAGCAGTTAAATAAAGACTCTGTACTATCTGGGGTATTTTAAAATTCTGTAACTTGGGGCCAATTTCAGATTTATATGAAGATCCCTAATACATTTTTGGAAGTCCTCGAGGCCTTTCCCTGTGACACTTCATTTGTATAGTCATTTGCACACAGTCCCGAGTGTTGACAGTAATAAGGCATTGGTGAGAATGCGTGAAGGCTGCTTCAGCAGTTCCTCAGCAGATGGCTTTCTCAGCTCATTCTCTTCTATAGGCAAACATGCTGAAGACATATTTGGTGAGCTGTTTAATGAGGCCAACAACTTCTACATCAGAGCAAATTCCCTTCAAGACAGAATTGATCGCCTTGCTGTCAAAGTTACCCAGCTGGATTCAACAGTGGAAGAGGGTAGGTAATTGCATGAAAGCAGTGAGCTAGAAGTAATGTTGACAAGCCTGTAGTGATTAATTGCCGTGTAATTACTGCTTTTTCCTTGAGGTAGTTTGCTGATATTTCATCTTGGCTTTTCGTAGAAGAATAGTGAGGAGAAAGACCCACAACATTGGGTTAAGTAGTGATTCAAAGGTTCATATCTTTTCTACCTCTTATGCCATACTCTCTTTAAAAAATTACAAATACATGGTTTGTTTTAAAGGATTCTTCAGGTGCATTCAGTGCCAGAAGCCCTAATTTAGGTTGCTGGTGGTTATTTTAAAAATAGTTTTTACCTAGAAATTTCAGAATCACTTCACAGGGATGGTCTAACTCCCAGGGAGGGTTGTACTTCTATACTGCTACAAAGGGAAAGTTTTAACCTCAGTACTCTTGGTGTGGTTAATACACTGTAAATTATCTTGATGATTCTGTTGATTTATACATTTTATTAAACTTGGCATAGATAACATTTTCTGAAGGGCTTTAGGCTTTAGAGTTTTTAAATAATGTAATACAAACATTGTGTTGTTGTCTAATAGTCATTTTATAGATATACCCTGAAATTGTAGCAGTTTAAACAAAATTAAAAACTATCAGTTCCTTTTTAAAAATTTAATTTTTGGTGTCTTTTGAATGAAGGACTGAGATTAAACTGAAATAACAAATCTGTTAAAAAAAAGTCTGAGGTATACCACTTCACAGTTACTTGAAGAAAAATATTCAGATTATAAATTATTTTTACCTTTATATAACAGTAGTTACAGTTTCCCTTGTTGCTTTAAAAAGACCCTAACATCTGATTTTTTTCACTACACTTATGTCGTAGTAGTGGTAAAAAAATAAAAGTCTTATTTTTTAAACAGTAGTTTATTTATGGAATTCATCCCTTTTCATCTTAAAAAGATATGTTTGCTCACGTTCAGATCTTTTTTTCAAAGGTCAAAGTTAAATTAGTGGATAAGAAATTTAACAAAAATGTAGAGCATAGAAGATGTAATATGTCTTATGAATGTTCTTGCCCACTTTTCCAACAATAAGGAGAAGTTAAAAACATTTTCTTTTTTAATCTAATTTTTAAAATTTGTCTCTTGTTTTTAAAAAAATAAAAATTGAAATAACCACTTGCTTTATTCAGATAAGGAACTCTTAACATCTTAATCATTCACTTTTCAAATTGGTATCACAGTGATTTTTTAATATTCGTTTTCCTTCGCTTTTGTTATTGGCTCTTGCAATTGGAATGCTTGTGATAGACATTATGCTGGAAAAGGTTAATCTGTAGGTTAAATTTTAGAAAATTTTGCAGTACATCTCAATCAAGATTTTACCTTGTTACTTTCTTTCGCGTGGATGTTATAGTGGAAAAAGCACTTGACTAGAAGTTAGGAAATTGGTTTGGGCCTGCCACTTTTTTTGCCGGATAATTCTGGAAAGGTCACTTAGCATCCCTGAATCTCAGCTTCATTGGTTGAGTGGGCTGATAGTACCGATTTGCCCACCTCAAAAAGTTTATGTAAAAATTAGATGAATTAATAAGTGAAATGTAAAGTGTTGTACCAGTGAAAATTAGTATCACCAGCCCTGATACCTGGCTCCTTAGTGTAGTTTTGTAGCAGATCATGCTACTGAATTTCTGAAACTATAGGAATGTTGCAAAGCTTTGCCATTGTTCCTTGAGAAAAACTTAATGCATTATTTATGTTTATGTATTTTTAGCAGAAGTATTTCCCACATGTATTATAATTAAACTGATATTAACTGTTTGAATGGTTTCCTTTCCGAGGATACCAAAATCTATGTATTTGCATGCCTTTTATACTCCTAACTATATTCTTGTATGGTTTCTGAGAAGTGATATTTAAATAAAGAATGGTTCAGTGAAATAATTAGATCCCAATAAAAGAAGAAAAGATAGGATTTTGACTTCATTTTGTAGAGAGAACTTATTTTTAACAGGGAAGAGATGCACATGCTATTTAAGTATGGTTTTAAATAAACAATAAAAACGGTATTTGGTTATACCGGGAGATGTTTATGATTGTGATTCAAATTATACTTACTTCTAAACAGTTAAAAATATTTCCATATAACTCAACTTGGGGGGCTTTTCTGTAAATAGTGTCACTACAGGACATCAACATGAAGAAAGCATTCAAAAGTTCCACAGTACAAGACCAACAGGTGGTGTCAAAGAACAGCATCCCGAATCCTGTGGCTGACATTTACAATCAGAGTGATAAACCACCGCCTCTGAACATTCTTACACCATACAGGTATGCAGTCCCAGATTCCCAGGGCCTTTCAGGAGCGAGAAATGAGGGAAGTGGACCATGCTTGGGAGCTACTGATGTGTGGCTTAGAAGCATCCTTGCGTGGTTCATTTGATGTAAAATTCAGAACTTTTAACAACTTTGGAAAAAACAATTGCAATGAAATTAGTCATTGGGTGCAGAGTTATCAAAGTTTCAGTATTTCAAAGTATGGAAAAACTTAGGAGAGAAGTGTGAGTTTTATCTAATTCTAGTTTTTAAATGAAGATATCTTAAGTGGCAGTTGTACATTACATAACAGATTTTGTGTGGTCATGCTGTTATTCTTTCTATTCAAAGTCAGTTTTAAAGGAACTGCATAATTCTTTTAGAATGCAGCAAGAGACCTGTCTCAGCATCTCAGCACTGCAGAGACATGTTATCTGCAGTGTTAGGGATTTTGAAGGGCGAAAATATAATCAACAAATTAACAATCTGTTGTTATAAAATAGTACCACCCATTATCAGGAACAAACTTCTGAGACAAATAATGGAAAAGAAATAGTGCAAATAATTAATATTAAGAAACTGACTAAAACATCCTTTTTTAAATACCTCTCCTACCTCCTGTTAACATCAGTGTTTTCTTTCCATATTTTCTGCCACCTTTTTCCAGTCTTCATTTTTCATGCACTTTTTCATCTTTCCTCCTTGCCTGTCTTGTTCCTCCCCCCATCTTTTTGCCTTCTTGAACAGCTCATTGCTTCAGCCTGAGGGGGCCCCCCGCTGTGGAGGGGAATAGTTCTCCCTGCCCCAGGCTGAGCTTTGTTGGGTGACCCTCCATTGAGGGACTGGCGGTATTCAGAGGGCTGTTTAGAATCCAGCACGGTCTTCACTTCTAGCCTTGCCCTCTTAGTCCTTTGGGCCATCACAGGGAGTGCCGAGTTTTTCTTGGTCTGAATTCCTGTCCCTTCTCGGGGCCCAGGAGATGTTTGGAGCTAGCCTTTTTTGCAGCTCTGCTAGTAAAGCAGCGGTTAAAACTGCACCCCTCTCCTCCGGCAAGGACAGAGAGATTGTCCTCTAATAAAACGTCATTGAATCTCCCACAGAAACTTTGATGGGAGAGGACCAAGGTGCCACATCTTCCTGTGAAACAAGTGTACTTTTCTGGAGGTTTTAGCATACTTGTAAAAATTAATGATGCATATGAATAGTGGTATTATAAATGTAATGTTTTCACTGTGATTTTGCTTTTGTTCCATCAGTATTCTTCCAGGTGATTTTACTTTGCATGGCAGCCATGAGGGCTTACTTATTAAAATTTTCCTACATGGTGTTACTAAGAAACTACACCAAAAATTCTGATGTAAAAGAAAAAAAAAAAAAAAGAAGACCCAGTAAACCACTTACTTTGATTAGTTGAGATCATGATTGAATATTTGTATTCATGTTGGTGATTTGAAAGTGTTAACTACATAGAAAGGAATTGATGTGTGTGCATGTTCTGTCTCATGTAAAGTAAAAATAGCTTTGACTCTCGTGTCTTTACGAATGGCAGTGCCAACTCAAATCTACTTTTTGTTGATACGGTAATATTTGAGTATATAAAATCCATAACCTTTTGCATTTGAACTTAAATATGAGGTGTCACAACACTGTCTTAATATGAAAAGTACAAACATGACTGAAAAATTAAGTCTTTAGTTACTATAAACACATAACTTACTTCTGCTTACATGATTTTGTTGTAGTTAACCATTCATTTACATGGGTGAGTCTCTGCCTTCATTAAAGCTGTTAACTCCATTTGAAAAAAAAACAAAAAGAATGTGCATTTTATACATCTTAAATTTGGCAACAAGTTTCTGCTCAGTCAACACTTTTTCTATACCTTCACTTACATTCAAGGGCTACTATCATAGGGAAGGAAATTCTGTTTTTCACAATAATGGTATTAAAATATCTTCATAATGCAGGCTGCTTGGTAATTAGAAAAGTAGGAAAAGAATGCAGGAAGGATTTTAAATTAATCAAAAGCTAAAGTGCTTAGTGAGTTGCTCTGCTTTCATTAGTGGTTTTCCGAAGAACATAGGAGCCCTGGTGGCACAATGGTTAAGCGCTTGGCTGTGAACCAAAAGGTTGGCAGTTTGAGTGCACCGGTCGCTCCAGGGAAGAAAGATGTGACAGTTTGCTTCCATAAAGATGTACAGCCTTGGAAACCCTATGGGGCAGTTCTGCTCTGTCCTGTAGTGTCACTATGAGTTGGAATCGACTCAACAGCAATGGATTTGGTTTTTTGGTTTCAGAAGAGCATCCATAGGAAGTGGGACTTAGTATTTAGTGACAGAAATTCACCAGTAGACTGCATAGCAGAAACTTTAAGGACATACAGATATCCCCCCTGAATAATTAGGCATATACTCTTTCTTATACTCAGTTAACTGATTTTGCTTCTGCTTTGTGCCTTAAATGACTTATTGAAATACTAATTTTTAGTGTAAATGTTCTGTTTCGTCTTGAAGGTGGTAATGTACAGACCAAATACTTTTTAAGACATTAGTAGAATGGAGTGTATACTTCATGTCAAGATTATTTTGAGCTTCACTATTGATTTATATTACAACTTTGGATTCATATCACCTGCGTTATATTAATTTTATGATAAATGAAAAGTTATATAAAAACATGGACTGTTCTTTAGTCCACAGTAATTATGGCAGTACTTGAGAAATGTAATGGCTACGGTGAATGCATTTTCTGTGTGGGTTACTTCCACTTTGAAAGTAATAGTTGATCATGTTTTTTTCTAGTCGCATTTATGCGCCCATGAACATTTTGCTTCTTTCCTAATTGAATTTATAGAAGTTAGCCAAATCTGATTGAGAAAAGGAGCAGAGTACTTATTTATTTTTATCCTAATAATACCATAGCTCCAGAGTAGGAGTGGATGCATACATACTAAGAATCCATCACCTTTATGTAGAGCCCCATGTTGGAATAAACAAAACATTTCTTAAAATAATTAGAGTATTAAAAATTGCTACTTAGGAGCCATATTATGATTTTCAGAGCAGTTTTTGGTATTTAATTCTAAATTTGCAAGAGTACTTTTTACCTAATATTCTAGAACAGATTGCTGTTCTTATGTTTCCATATTTTTTCAAATAATATAAGATACTTAAAATGCTCTCTCTGCACCTAAAATTCATTTATAATTGAGGTAAAATTAAATTAATATTAAACCCTCTATGAAAATACCTGGCAACCTTTTTGTTTCTGACTTGTAATACGTTGATTTACAGAGATGATAAGAAGGATGGGTTGAAGTTCTATACCGATCCATCCTATTTCTTTGACCTCTGGAAAGAAAAGATGCTCCAGGACACGGAAGACAAAAGGAAAGAGAAAAGGCGACAAAAGGTAAATAATTCTAGTATGGAAAACATGCATGTCAGTGTGCAAATGGGTGCTTGTTCAGAACTCAATCAGTAAACTATTTAGACGGTTGAGATGTTAGATTTAGTGCTGAAGTTTTTCAGAGGTTACGTTTTTTACATGAAGATCTTGACAATTCTGTTTAACACAGTAATACTGTTTTTTAATAAATACTATCTGATTTGTTCTCTTAACACTTGCTTTGCTTTAACAAAAGTAGTGGTTGAAGATTTGACTTTTGTTTGTAACTGTGTTTTATAACTTTTCACTTTCTGCGTTCTCAAATTTCATACAACAGTCACCCGTTCCATATCAGATAACTGTCTGCTTTCGTCTTTTTAATGTTCCTAGTTGTTGGGTTGCCACTTAGCTGTAATTAAGGGCTTGGTGAGATGTACATAGTTGGATGGGAAGGCATGTGTGAGCTGCAGGTTGGGGGATATTATTTACTAAAGATGAAATTTCCTTTGGTGGGATAGTGGTGGGAAGGCAAACTGTAAGTTTAAATGTTGCAAAGCAGCAGTATTTCAGATACATTCAGAAAGACAAGCCCACTCTGTAGGTTGACTTCTGTTTTAAAAGTTATCTCTTTGGGGCCCAGGATTTAGACTTAAGCCACTGAGAAGGGTTAATCCTCTAAAGGCAGGTATCTGCTAAGATTTTTATTTGTAAGCTGTGTTTAAAAATGACGGCCTGGTCCATGGCAAATGTTCGAGTGCTTTAGTTAAGAGAAACGCTTGGCATTCTGTGGGTTGATTGCTTTTAGGTGTTGAGGTGTTTAGGTGTATCGGCCCAGCAGGAGAGAGTTTGGGATGGAGGAGAAGGTCTGGGATTTGGCCCAGCTTTTCATTTACTTGTTTCATATGGCTTTCGTTGGGACTCTGAGTCACCACTTGCCTATCTCTCAAACAGGTACATGAGACCAGTTTTCAAATTGAGCAGTATAAGCAAGGGCCCATCTACGGAAATTAGTGCCTGTGGCAGTTAGTTTTAAGTTGTTGAATGATCCCTCACAGCTGGCGATGGAAACTGCTCATGGAATCTGCCCGTTAGCACCCCTTCTCAAACGGCACCTGGGTCACACGCCCTACCTGCCATGCCTTAGTTACACCTCTGGGTGTGGAATATTGCTACTGGGTTTTAGGAAAGGATTCACAAAGACTTTACTATTCATAGTCTCTCCTTTGTGTTGGTAGGCTGGGGAGACTTAAAACTGGAGAAAATATCAAAGTGAAGAAAAGAAAGATATTAATATCTTGAATGGAGAAGAAACTCAGGTTTAAAGCCCTATTTGTCTTAACTCTCATACCTTCTTAAAGAAACAGAATAAAAGCTCAGGGTTTTTAAAAGTACTTTCCTTTAAAACTTTCCTGTCCACCTAAATTTCTCAGAATGTAAATAATCCTTTTGGCAAATATATTTAATTTTTGCCAGTGCTCTTGAGGGAAAACAGCCTTAATGTATCTGTGATTGTTGAGTGTTCAAAACCATTTTGTCATTTTCTCAGCTGTTTTGTCTCATTCCTCACTCTGCAGACACATGAGATTATGGTGAGAATTTCTTACTCGTTAAGACTCTTAAGTCATTTGTGTAATAATTCTTTTTTGAATGCCTTCTAAATGCTGGATAAACAGTGGTGAAAACTACACGATCCTCACCCTCACGTAGATTACAGTTTAGTGGGAGAAACAATCTACCTGTCAACACGCATACCCCCCCACACACACAAATAAGAAATAGTAATGACACAGATATGTGATTGTAAATGTGAATTACTGGGTCGGTAAGTGTTGTGAAGGAAAAGTACAGTGAGATGAAAAAGGCAGGTGACCTAATGTAAGTGAAATGGGTATCAAGGAAGGCCTCTCTAAGGACTTGTCGTTTACATTGTCATTTAAACTGAGACCACAGGATGGATAGAACAAGTTAAACTGTGTGTGTGTGCACACGCATGCATGCATATGCATGTGTATACATGTGCGTGTCCATGTGTGCGTGTACACGTGTTTGCATGTGTTCATGCATGTGTGCATGCATGCATGTGTATGTATGTACATATGTGTATATAGGTGGGGAAGGGATGCTGGAGGGATGGAGGGTAGATAAGGAGGGGGTGCTTCCGAATTGGGGAGCATTCTAGGCAGAAGTATACGTAATAGTCATCGGATAGGGAATAGTTTTGTATATTCTAGAATTTTAATGTAGGCCAGTGTAGCTGGATTATGCATTCATCATTGTTAACATTTTGTCATATTGGGTTCATCTGTGTGTGTGTGGCGGGGGGAAGTAACACGTCAGTGGGCAGCTTTGGAGGCTGAGCCGTTGTAAAGAAAGTTGTAGATATCATAACACTTAATGTTTAAATGGAGCCCTGGTGGTGCAGTGGTTAGGAGCTTGGCTGCTAACCAAAGGGTCGCAGTTCAAATCTACCTGCTGCTCCTTGGAAACCCTATAGGGCAGTTCGGCTGTGTCCTGTAGGGTCACTATGAGTTGGAATCAACTTGACGGCAACGGGTTTTTAATCCTTAAATATGTCAGCATATATCTCTTAAAAGTAAGGATGAGAATTATTAATTAATTTAATACAGATGTTCTTAATCAGGGTGTATACTGGAATCTCATTGAAATCTCCCCACTGCCCCTCACCTTTCTTTTTTCCTTTTGGTTTTTAAACTGTACAATCCATGCTGGTTGTGGAATGCTCAAACGACATTGAAGGAAATAAAAGCGCTCCCCTCCCCAGGGGAAGCTGGTTGTTATTGTGGTGTGCCAGCAAGTCGATTCCAACTCATAGGGACCCCATGTGACAGAGTAGAACTGCCCAGTGGGGTTTCCTAGGCTGTAATCTTTATGGGAGCAGATGGCCAGGTATTTTCTCCTAACCACTGCTAATAGTAACAGTTTGGTGTGTATCTTTTTAGACCTTTTACACATTCATAAGTACATACACACGCATTTTACAAAGTATTTTGATATAAATAGAATTGTACTACACGTGACTTTTTTGAGCATATATTTATATATCTCATTAAAGATCTTTTTAACTAGTTGAGTAGTATTCCGAAGTATGAACGCCTCATACATCCTAGTACCTATGTGGTTGTGCTCACACACAGATACTTCTTCAGGGTAAATTCCTAGAAGTTGAATTGTTACATCAAAAGGAATATGCGTTTTATTGCTTCCCGCCCTTAAAATACCAAACTAGTTTATACCATTAACTTGCCTTCTCCATTGCTGGATATTACTTTTTTTGATGAGCCAAAAAATCCAGTTTGCATTACTCATCCTTTCATATCCTTGTTAACCATGTGCATATCTTCTGCGAATTTCATGTTCATATCTTTGCCAATCCATCCCCAAAGCCTCCTGAGTACGTCTGAAAACAGTCCACTTCCCTGTCTCAGTCCCTTAAGCCATCTGCCATCTTGTCTCACCTTAGTAGCTATCCAAATGGTGTCCCTGTCTTTCCCCCTTTTAAATGATTCCACCTGACACAGAATAAATCTTCTCAAGTGCTTTTTCATTATGTCAAACCTTACTTTCCCATCTTGTGAAACATTCTTCAGTGGTTTCCCATTGCTTTTCAGAAAAAGAACAATATTTTTAACAAGGCCTTCAAGGCCTTGCCTTCTGCCTTTCAGGTCTCATCCTGGGCCACTCACTCTCCTTGACCATTGGCCTTCTTTCATTTCTCCTCACACAGTGCAATCCCTGCTCCTCAGAGTCATTACCCGTTCTGCTGTCTCTTCTTGGCATGCGCCTGACCCATGCTGCTTTCAGGAGCAATGCCGGCTCACACTACAGATCTTGACACCCTCCCCCAGCTTCCAGACCAAGCAGCATTTAATGTTTACGCATTTACATTTTACCTATTTTATAATTATGTACTTAGTTGTGTGGTTTTGTGTGCTTCACCCTCTGGACTGTGAGTACGCTGAAGGCAGAGAGCACATCTTTTTCTGTGTGCCATTTGTCTCGTCAGTGCCTCGCACAGTGTCTGGGACACAGTGAGCATTGTCAGCTAGTGCTCGCAGCTCTGGTGGTGGATTTGATCATTTCCTCAGTATTTATTGAATGTATCCTATATGTAAAGCTGTGTGGTGGGCTATAAGAGAGGCATAGAAAATAAAGGCACAGAGTTCTTGTCCTGAAAGATCATAAAATCTTATCAGGGAAACAGGAGAAACACACACAGTAAAACCTGTGAAAGCTGGAACTGTGTAAGGTGGAAACCTGTCAGAGCAGGAAAACTAAAATATTTTCCAATAATAGTTGGCAAAGAATATTGAATATACCATAGTCTGCCAGAAGGATGAACAGGTCTGTCTTGGAAGAAGTACAACCAGAATGCTCCTTAGAAGAAAGGAGACTTTGTCTTGCATACTTTGGACATGTTATTAGGAGGGACCAGTCCCTGGAGAAAGACATCATGCTTGGCAAGGTAGAGGGTCAGCGAAAAAGAGGAAGACCCTCGACAAGATGGATTGACACAGTGGCTGAAACAATGAGCTCAGGCATAGCATCGATTGTGAGGATGGTGCAGGACCGGACACTGTTGTTGTCTGTTGTACATAGGGTCACTATGACAGCACCTAACAACAACAATAGAGAGCAATAGAAAAGTGGTAAGATTGTACCCTGTCGAAGGTGGAAAACTTGAGAGACCCAGAAAAAGAAGGCAGTCCTGTCAGGTTTCGGCTTTCACAGGTTTCTCTGTACTCACATAGAGAAACAGCTGCCTTACCTCTATGTGAGTACATATGTAGGACCTCAGTATTTGCTGAGTACATTTCTACTGTACTTTTTCTGGCCACGTAGGGCTGGAGCAAGAGTGGCTTTGTATGGGAAGGTAAGTTTTTATCTTGCTTTTGTGTGTGTTCAGCTAGTTGCAGGGTTAGCTTAAATATTCTGTAATATCTTTTAGAAACTGGGATTAGAACATTGGAGTTATTCCTTTTGGAAGATAATTACATGTTAACAAGTCATTCAGAATTGTGCAGTGGTGGGAAATGATTTCTCTGTATGATGTCAGGTATGTCACCTCTATAATATAGACTTAAAATAGATTTATAAAATAGATATAACTCAACCTGAAAGTCTAGTGAAGTGAGAAGTCGTTACCATAAATGATGGTCAACAACCCCTTTGTAGTTGTAGAATAGTAACTTTTTATTTATTAAGAGTGATGGTTAAATATCAGTTACTCTTTGTTGGGTCTATTGGGTAAAAGGAGTATTCTGCTTTAGAGTTTTCTTAACAGTAGGGTAATGGAAATGTGAATGTCTCTTGTGTGCACGTCAGCTTGTTTCCTGTGCATTATAACTGCATCTAACCTGCTGTTTCCCCTTTCCCTTCTGTCTCGCATGCTTTCTTTCTTTTCCTGGACATCAGGAGCAAAAACGTATAGATGGCACAACCCGCGAGGTGAAAAAGGTTAGAAAAGCCAGAAACAGGCGCCAGGAGTGGAATATGATGGCATATGACAAAGAGCTTAGACCTGACAACAGGTTGTCTCAGAGTATATACCACGGCGCGTCTTCCGAGGGATCCCTGTCCCCCGACACTAGGTGTGTGTGCATTACAGCTCCTTATTCCTGGTGCTCCGGACCAGCAGTCCTTGGTTTTATTACAAATGGGACATGCAGTGGTCACTCTGGTGTGTATGTGGCTCTCGATGTTTCAGAACTTCCCTCAAAAATTAATTTTCTGTATTTGGATTTTGAAATAATGCTTTAAAGCAGTTTAATTTTGCATCAGGTTACATTGTGTGATTTCTACTCTCTGACTTAAATGTATTGTTTAGTTAATCTAGATGAGGTGTTTAGAACATCAAGACTGAATTTGAGCCAATGAATTAAATTTTTATTTTAATAATTATATAATCCTTTTCTTTTATCTTTAGCCTGGAATTTTCCTTGCCACTTGGTATTTAAACATGATTGGTAGGTGGTAATTAATGTGATTAAGAAATAACTGCATTGTTCTTTTTGATAACTTCTTAAAAAAGTGATGGACAAAAGAAATATTTATTTCTTCAGATAACTTATCTTATGTATCTAATTTCAGGAGAAGAATTCTGTTGGAGTTTACTTGTAAAAATTTTTTTAGCAATTAAGTGAAAATATTTCTTGCAGGTGTGAGTGATGTGGCCACTAAGTGTTCATTTGTCACAAAAGGTATTCACTGGACGACAGGAACTGAGTCATCAATGTAAACTTCCGGTTTCATTTCCTATTTCTTTTTTTGTAAAGCTGTAGTCTTCTGTTTATATAAATCCTCAAAGTCTTCCATCAGCACTGAAAAATTCAGATTGAGAATTTTTAATAATGCATGGTGTTTCAAACAGCAACAACCTGGATTTGCGTTACATCTGCATCCTTTTTGTCTTTTACCTTTGTAACCTCAGTGTTTCACACAGACTCTGACATATAGAAGATGCTTAATAAATATTTACCAAATGAGAGACTTATTTGGTAGCTACAGTGCCCTTAAGTATCCCTACCCCAGCGGGTCTGCAAGTTATTGAGAGGATATGAGGCGTGTTCTAGGTAAATTTTTCTATACAAGCTGTGGTCTGTTAAATATGAGAGAATCATTGGAACTTTAACTGAGTTCTGTCTAGCCTCAAGTTTGAATTTTAATGTCAGTTTATTTCTCTGCAAAGTAATTTCTCCATAACTCTGCTCATAAGTCTTTTTTAAGGGGGATAAGTTGAATTTAGTGTTTCCCCTTATGTGAGTTTGCTTAATATTTTGTCATCTAATTTGTGATTGTTTACTCATGTAAAACATGTACTTTCTTTTTACCCCATATGTACTCTTTTATTTTAACAGATTCCACATGAAAAAAATGGTAAATTTTTTTCTCCCTTAGTGAAATGATTAATATACATTCTAACATGTGAGATTAGATTGTTGCATGCTGGGCATAGAATTGATGGTCACGCAGATGATTTAGTATTCTGCTTTTGCATTTATGTTGTTTAGATATGTCTTCATTTCTCTTATTTTTCAAAAAGCAAATGGAATTATGTTTCATTTCTTCAGAATTAATGGGTCTCTGAAAATATATATGTTGTTGTGTGTGTCAAGTCAATTTCGACTCATAGCAACCCCATGTGACAGAGTAGAACTGCCCCATAGGGTTTCCTAGGCTGTAATCTTTACAGGAGCAGATTGCTAGGTCTTTTTTTCCCACAGAGCGGCTGGTGGGTTTGAACTGCTGACCTTGCAGTAAGCAGCTGAGCAATATATGTATATATATATATGTATGTGTTGTGTATATGTGTATCTATATATATATCCATACATACATAGTCATTCACTCTTCAGTGGGCCAGTCCCCCTTCTGACCTCCTTTTCCCCGTCCTTGCTAGAGCCACCCTTTGGCAGAGTACTTAAAAAGCTCATTCCCGTTTTTCTCTGTATATTCCTTTATTTCTTCCTCCATCTAATTATCCCCTTTTCCTTGGCGCCTTTTGTCCCTGTATCACAAAGCCATTTTATAAAGCTAACACTCTCAATTATGCCATAATTACAATTTCCTGCCCCTCATTTCATCAGAAGCACTCTATTTTGCTAGATAACTTAGTTTCCTTTAGAAAGTTGCGCAGGTAGTCAGTGACACATAGGCACGCACATATAGTCAGGCACACATAGCCAGTGGCATCCAGAGTTTTGAATATTTACTTTTTTAAAATACATTAACTCTAAATATAGGAACCCTGGTTGTGCCAGCAGTTGTGGACTTGGCTGCTATCTGAAAGGTCGGCGGTTTGAACCCATCAGCAGCTCCTCAGGAGAAAGACCTGGCAATCTGCTTCCATAAAGATAACAGCCTGGAAAACCTCTTGGGGCAGTTTTACTCTGTCACACGGGGTCTCTGTGAGTCGGAATCAAATCGATGGCACCTAGCAACAACACCAACAAATCTAAATACAGGCCAGGTTCCTTCTGTATGAAAACTCTTTTTAACTCCTTTGCTAGCAGTTTGTATAGTTCAAAAGACATAATCATATGCATACCATAATTAGGATTTATATTGCCATTAGGGAAGAAGTATGTGACTGTAGCAGTCTCTTCTCACTAAGAAAGCCTTTTGGTGCTGTGTGACCCTCCCATTCAGGAAAGCGCCTGTTTGAATTCCCAGCGTGTGGCTTCCTTGCTCTCCGCACACCCCCAATGTGTTTTTGCCTGTTTTCTTCAGAGAGAAAAACACAAGCTGAACCCCAACAGAAACCAGCAGATAAATGTGAGAAAAGTGAGGACAAGAAAAGAAGAGTGGGAGAGGAGGAAAATGGGCATTGAGTTTATGAGTGACCCAAGGACGCTGGAGCAGGCAGGGAGCGTCAAAGAGGACAGAATGCCCAAAGGGTTTGTCGTTTTGCTTTCTCTGAATCCCAACATCGGGCTGCCCTCCTTGCTTCAGTCGTCACGAGATGATGTGCGTCCCCTTACTGACAGCCATGCTCTATAACCTGGCGCCAGGGCCGCTGAGCTGTCTGTTACTAACGCCACACCGTGCTGCAGCTTCAAGAATAAGAGCCTTTCATCCTCCTCTTGCTTGGGCTTCCCTGACGTCCCAGCCCACTCAGCGTCTTCAGAAACTCTGTGCACAACTAACATCACATTTTCACTCCTTTCAGATTTTCATACCCAGCTGCGTGTGCAAAGAAAACAAGAAGGCCTTAACCTCTCATGTCACATGGCTTCTTTCTCTTTGGGTTAAATACTTTTCTCCTGTTTAAGAAAAATACAATTCACTGTATTGCATTCTGGGTTTCTTTTTCTGTTATTACTGTTAATATTTATCCAGTTAACCTGCCGCTTTATAATTTCTAATTATAGGCTATTGGTTTCATTGCCACTGAAACTCGTGTCTGCCTTAGATGTCATTTTTAAATTAAATGGAATTTGCCTTGTTGCCTTCTATATGACAGGAAAGTATGTGGAAATATTGTGAAAATGGGTTCCTACTCTTTACCGCTTGCCAGCGTGTCTGACTTCTTCACTCTAAAGCTATGAATCAAATCCATGTAACACGGGCTTGCTGCTAAAGTCGTAATTACCTTGTTGCTCTGGGGCTCTCATAGGGCTATACCTATTCGATAGTAAAGGGAAATAAATGTGTAATTTCTGTGCATTCACAGTGTTGTTATTCAATATGCTTTATGTCTGTTAGGGGAGATGCTTTTTAGCTTAAGTAAAGTCCTCCCCTCTTTTTCTTTCATTGTAGATCCCATGCTTCAGATGTTACGGATTACTCTTACCCAGCCACTCCAAACCATTCTCTGCATCCACAGCCAGCGACACCTTCCTACACAGCTGGCGACGGGCCACCGCACGGGGCAGCCAGCCAGGCTCCTGAGCATGAGTTCAGACCACCGTCCACCTCGGCGAGGCACATGACCCTCAACAGACCGCAGCAGCCACCCCCGCCGCCCCCTCCACAGGCCGCAGAAGGGTCTCAGGCCTCGGCCCCTATGGCCCCCACAGACTATGGGTAAGTCAGTGTTCTTGTGCTCTGTAGTTTGCCAGTACGTATGGATCTTGCTGTGTGTGGTGTGGAGTTCCCAGGTGGTACAAATGGTTCACATGCTGGGCTGCTAACTGAAAGGTTGGAGGATTGAGTCCACCCAGAGGCACCTCGGAAAAAAGGCCTGGTGAGCTACTGTCCAAAAAATAAGCCATTGGAAACCGTAGGGAGTGCAGTTCTACTCTGACACGCATGGGGTCGCCATGAGTCAAAGTTAACTCGATGTCAGTTTTTTTTTTTAATGTGTCATGTGAGAATTTTAACAATAATTTGATACTTTGGAGGCCAGAATGCAACCAAGAGCTACCAGATATAGTTACTATTATTTATGACAAATTCTGTGCTAAACAAAGTAAATGCAGTATCATGCTGCTCCCCCTTTTTATTATGAAAGATAACCCTCAGGTTTATGTATGTATTCATGTATGCACATTCCGTTTATATACATACTTACAAATATTTGAATGAATCATTAAGCCAAGACATTGATAAAGGATAAAGTGCTTGTCTTGGGAACTAATCCCAAGCCCTCAAGTTTCTTACATACACTGAGTGGGCCACAGAGAATCCTCACCACAAGTGAGGAAACTGTAACTCAGTACCCTGTATGTCACTTCTTACACTCGGTTTTATCATCACCTTCCTCAACCTTTGGTCACCCAGCCATCATTCTGCCACCAGGTCATACAGGTAGAGTTGTTTTCTGTTGTACAGGTAGAATTCAAAAACTTCCTAAAGAAGACCTTTATTTTCATGTGTTTATCGGTTTAAACACTCACCCTTATTTTGATAGGCCATCTTTAGCTCTCTGTTTCGGCTTAACCCTGATCTTGGAAGAGTTGGCTCCTCAGAGTCAATGCCCAGGGAAGCTGAATATATGTCTCCGTGAACATGTATCGTCCTCAACCCAGAACCAAGGAGGATTGCTTCCAGAGGCTTTCTCCTGTCACAGTGTCCTGAGGTCTTTCCATCTGCTGGATCTCTTTAAGTCAGGACTCCACAAATGTGTCTTGAGGTGGTCACTGAGTGTCAGGCAGAGTGGGTCCCTGCTCCCTGTTGTGTTGGCTGGGAAAACCCTTGCTGACATAGAATTAAGCATACCTCTTGGCTGTAGGACTTTTTAAAACTTTTAATATTCTAATGGGCATTGTGGAGCCCTGGTGGTACAGTGGTTAAGAGCTCGGCTGCCAACCAGAGGTCAGCAGTTCGAATCCACCAGCCACTCCTTGGAAACCCTGTTGGGCAGTTCTACTCTGTCCTATAGTGTTGCTGGGAGTCAGAATCAACTTGACGGCACAGGTTTCTAATGGGCATTGTAGGCATGAATGTAGAATTTTCCAAATTTACTTGACCACAGAACCCTTGTGAGACATGTTTACGAGCTCCGCAGTTTTGAAGATGCTCAGTACAAAGGCTGGGTTGTGTTGCGTTTCTTACCTTTGTAGTTAGCAAGTTTAGCTTTCCACGGAAAATCATTTTACTTGGTAAGAGGTCATTTTTTGTTGCATTCAAGAAGATCATGAATTCCATGGTAAAGAATAATGTAGAACTGTGCAAGTAACTGATCCAATGTGGATATTTGCATCCTGCAGTGTTTCAGGTTCATATGTTGGGGGGGCACCTTCCCATTAGGCACGTGAGAACCTCTGAAGATGTGGCTCTCTGTTGATATTTCAGTGACGCTCACTCTGTTTTGTGTTTTTGTTAGGATGCTACCAGCACAGATAATTGAATACTACAACCCATCAGGACCACCTCCTCCTCCACCGCCCCCTGTGATTCCTTCCGCACAAACTGCCTTCGTTAGCCCTCTGCAGATCCCCATGCAGTCGTCCTTCCCTGCACCTGCTGGCGGCACCTACACGGCTCCTCCTCACCCTCCTCCCACTGGGCTCGTCGTCACAGCCCCGGCCCCGCCAGGCCCCCCGCCGTCCCCACCCGGCCCCCCTGGTGCCGGCTCCTCGCTCTCATCCTCACCCATGCATGGCCCCCCAGTAGCCGAGGTGAAGCGTCAGGAAACCGCACAGCCACCCATCAGTGATGCTCGAAGCGATCTTCTTGCTGCTATTCGAATGGGTAAGTGGAACACCCCACCTAGTCTTCCTTTTAGAAAGAGATTTCTTCACGTCTCCAACTAGCTACAGCCTTCTTGTCTTCAAATGACTGCTCTCTGAAGAGGACCCTTTAGAATAGGGTCAAAGAAGCCTGCTTGTTTTGTGTTGTTTGTTGCCAGTATATGTATTTTTGCCAGTGCCAGGTAAATACATAGGATGAAGAATTGGGAGTTCAAGAAAGCTTCACTGGACTAGAAACCAGATAGCAGGAATGTCATCTAATTAGTTGGATCTTTTCTCTGCATTCTTGTAAAAATGGTGTGGGGGTGACATCTGACCTCCGCGTCTAACTTCACAAGGGGGAAGGAGAATCAAGATCAACAGCCTAAGGCTGATTCCTATGAGGCAGAGGTCAGACAAGCCTCCTCTCTCTGCCATCCTTACCAATTCTGACACCAGCCATCCCACCCACGGCATTCTACTACTATGCTGAGTTCGATAATTCATTACAACAGCCACACAGAACTCAAAGACAGTACTTACAATTATGAGGTTTATTAGGGAGGTGTAACAGGTTACAGTTGAGGTTCAGGAACATTCAGAATACAGTTCTTCCATCAGGACAGCCTCGTCTCAGCCATGCCCCACAGGCAGGTCTCTCTCTGGCCCCTCAGCCTCTGCCCTGCTCGGGCAAGTGTTATAAAGCTCTCTTAGCTCTGCCAGTAAGTGTGCCGAGGCACCTCACTCTGCCAGTAAGCCTTGGCCCAAAGGCGCTCACCTTTCTCGCTCCATGGACCAGGAAGCCCACTGTCTCCTGCTTGTCTCTCCTGCCGTTTCTCTGCCACTGCTTCTCACTGTCTTCAGTATTATAGCTCTTTCTCTATCTCTTTCTCTTTCTCTCTCTCTCTCTCTCTCTCTTTCTCTCTCTCTCTCTCTGTCTCCTGGTTCCAGGAGCTTCTCAGTGCAGGGATCCCGGGTCCAAAGGACAAGCTCTGCTCTTGACTCTAGGCTGTCCTTCCTTGGTGGTGGTAGAATCCTCTTTTCCACCTCTGGGATGGCTCATTTCAGGTCCAGCAGAATGGCAAAACTGACCAATCCCCTTGGTGGGCCACAATTACCCTATTTGTACAGTCCCACCCAATCACTTGCTGATAGAATTAAGCAGACCTCTTGGCTGTAAGACTTCTTAAAACTTTTAATATTCTAAAGCACATTGTGGAGCCCAGTCACTTGGGTGGGAGTTACAAGACTATGGTGAGAAAGGCCACACAAAAGCGATCCATTGCACTGTAATTCTACTCTAAGAGTAAATGTATAAATGTAAGAAAATCAGCCCATATCAGTGGTTTACTTAAAAAAAAATCTAGGGTAGGTTTTGGACTTTTTGGACTTTTCACTTGATGTTCTAAGTCAGTAGTTTCTTAACATTTATTTAGCAACAAAACCCTTTTGTCAGATGAAAATCCTATATCATATGTACATTAAAAAACAAAACAAAACCCGTTGCTGTCAAATCAATTCCTATTCATAGAGACCCTATAAGACAGAGTAGAGCTGCCCGAAAGGTTTCTAAGGAGCAGCTGGTGGAACTGCGAGCCTTTTGGTTAGCAGCTGAGCTGTTAACTACTGCGCCACCAGGGCTCCCCATATGTACGTGGAACATATCAAGTAGTGCTTCTCTGGTTGAAGCAGGGTGGGGATAACTGGAACCTCACCATTAGCTTCCCTTCTGCTCCCAAAGTACCTTTCAGAACCACACACACTGTTTACTCTTAGCCCCACGTCACAGCCCCAGTGGGTGAGGGCCACCCATGGGATGTGGAAATATTCCCAGAGCTTCTCATACAGTGAGGAGCTACATGGTCTCATGGCTACAACTCAGTTGTTTGATGTGGAAGTGGCTGAGGGAAGGAGATGGGGGCAGCTCTGGCTCAGTGTCTGGAACCCCAGTGCTTCGGTGACATCCCTCACAGAGAGGGTTGTGTCCATTCCTGCCTCTGCTGTTTGCTTGAGTGCCCTCAAATCAGGCCTGAGGCAAGCCACCCATGCCCTCCTAGAGATTCCAGATTCTTCTGATACGTTCTTGAACATCATCGACCCACTTCAATTTTGTGAGGAAAAAAAAACGTCCGAGAGTTGTAATACCTTATTGATATCCAGTTTGGGGTCATACAAAGAAGATACCAGGATTTGCTTTCTTAGAAGTATAAGCCCTATCCAATAAGAATTGATACATAACCTGAATCATCACAAAACATCAGAAAAATCCTAATCGAGGGCCTTTCTACAAAACAGCTGCTTGGATTCTTAAAAAAAAGTCAAAGTCATAAGAACAAAGACATGTGCTAACTAATCCAATGGGTGACCCTGCATTGGTTCCTGAACAAGAGCAGATCATTTTCATAGTTGCTATATTAGGTTTTTTAGCAAAATTTGAATAAGATCTGTAGAATAGATAGTAGTATTGTATCTGTATTAATTTTATACTTTGATCATTATTTTTTAGGAAATTACACATGAAATATTTTACGGGCAAAGGGACATTATCTGCAGCGTACTCTCAAATGGTGCAGAAAAAAATGTCTGGTGTATGTATGTGTGCAAATGATAAGGAGAGAACGACTGATAAAATAAATGTTGTCAAATGTTATCAGTTGGAAAATCTGGGCGTAGCCTATAAGGGAATGTGTTTCTACTAATCTTACAACTACTCTGTAAAATTATTTCAAGACAGAAAGTTAAAAATGAATTGATGCACATTACATCATCAAAATGACATTTTGTTTCTTCCTAAGCAAGAGAGTAGGGTATTGTATTTTATATCCATTTTCAACAAATGTTTCTCAGTTTCCTCCTCAGTTTGGCAAAGAACTATTAGTGTAGAACCCAGCTTTCCAAGCCCTTGGATTACAGCCGTGCCCAATAAAATGTTCTGTAATGACGGAAATGTTCCATGTCTGCACCGTCCAATATGGCAGCCACTAGCCACATATAAAAGGAGCCCTGGTGGCACAGTGGTTAAGCACTTGGCTGGGAACCTAAAGGTAGGCTGTTTGAACCCATCAGCTGCTCCACAGGAGAAAGATGTGGCAGTCTGCTCCTTTAAAGATTACAGCCTAGCAAACCCTGTGGGGCAGTTCTACCCTGTCCTATAGGTTTGCTGTTGAGTCGGTATCAACACAACAGCAACAGGTTAGCCACATATCAATTTAAGTTTAAATAGCCAGTGCGGCTGGTGGCCACCATATTAGACAGCGTGGCTTTAGAGTTTTCTTGAATGGTGTTCATGTGCACTGACCTTATTATAACTAACTGTTTTATATTTCAGTACTTTGTTATCAAAACGAAGAACTGTTCTATGGCTTTGAGTTTATATTTTTCTTTTTTTATTTTGTCATAAAACTCCTATTTCCCACCCTCCCCTCATCAAATTTCTAAAAATTTTTACCCTTCATGTCAGTAGGGGAAAAAAGTCAAATAGACCTGTTAGCTTGTTTTCCTTCAGTGTGGAACAAGCAGAGGGCTTTGATTCTTAACCACATCTTGTGTCTTTAGGAATACAGCTGAAAAAGGTGCAGGAGCAGCGTGAGCAGGAGGCCAAGCGGGAGCCCGTGGGGAACGACGTGGCCACCATCCTCTCCAGGCGCATTGCCGTGGAGTACAGCGATTCGGACGACGACTCGGAGTTTGATGAGAATGACTGGTCAGATTGAGGCCCTGTCCGGGCAGCTGCGTGCAGTGGGCAGGGTGACTGGGTGAGGGGCCGGTCACCAACTGGAGACCGCGGGCCGCAAGGGTATTGAGGATGTTAAGTGGTCTCAGCACTCAAATAGTAGTATTATAATCCTGTAGCTTAGCAACTTTTGTATTAATAATGTGATATTGCTTCTGCACATCCAAAAATTCTGGGTTTCTTTCAGTATTTACTGTATAATACTTAAGTGCCACTGACCATAGCGAATTTTGCTGTGCCTGAGGAAATATGCTGTAATTATCACATTGTCCGAACACAGCATTTTGCTTTCTTCTTGGCTATGAAAGTATTTAGTGCAGTCTGGGTTTCCTCTTCTTGATTGTTATAATTCTGCAGACTTGCTATGTGTTTGTGAAGCTGCCTCGTTGTTAGGTCTTTGCGAGATTCACGGCTGTGTGTCAGTGATGTCTTCCGATCAGTAAGTGATAGAGTTTTGCTTTTCTGTTTTTTTTCAAATGTGTTTCAGAAAAGAAGTTGGTTCTAGAGAGAAAGATATAACAAGTCAGGAGAGTCGACTGTTCTGCTTTCAGCTTTCTGACTTGGCAGTCTCTGAGTGAACTTGAATGTTCCGTTGAATAATTTCATTTCTTTTGCACGCTTTTGTAAAATGTGAAATTGGAAGGACCCCTCTTAGGCAAGATTCCACAATAATTTTCCTTTACCCATGGGCAATTGCTGAATAAATGCTTGTTGATGATTTTCCAACGAGCCTTCAGCAGCTCAATAGTAATGACAATGAGGCAGAGTCCTTTTTCCTTCAGGGACCATTTAGGGTAGTCCTCCAAATACTGGACCACCATTACAACTTGGACCCCCACCACCTGGACAGACATGGGTCATAAAGGGGCCAGAGGAGACATGCCGAGTTTATTTCCCGAAAGCTGTGTTCTGAGTGAGTCCGGTTGGAGCTCTGCAGGGCATGCCTCAAGTGGCTCTTCCCTCCATTGGGTCTGGATTTTAAAAGCTAACCGAAAGGTTGGTAGTTTGAACCCACCAGCGGCTCCACAGAAGAAAAGACTTGGCAATCTGCTCCTGTAAAGATTACAGCCTAGGAAACCCTATAGGGCAGCTCTGTGTCATGTGGGGTCGCTATGAGTTAGAATTGACTCAATGGCAGACAATAACAACAACAGGTTTAGGGTAAAGTAGATACTGACAGTGACTCACTCTTCTGGGGTGGGGGCCAGATTTGGGGTCAGGTACATGCTTAGGGCCTTCGCTCTATCCTAGAAGCACACGGTTCTATTTTCTCATATTGTCTTGGGCACATTAACAGTTCCAGAGTACCTCACAACATTACCTTGATTAGACCCGTAGCTGTAACATCATCACCTCCCTGTCACTTTCCCCCTCCCCACCATTCTCCCACACGTGGTCATACTAGAGACCTGTGGGGTTTATTTTCCTAGCTGAGACAAACCCTTGGGAAACTCAAGAATGAGAGCTTCTATTTTGTAATTCTGGATAAAGGATAACTGCTAGTTTAGAGTAAATAAATGCCCCAGGCATTGATAAATATACTAAGATACTTACTAAGGAAGTCTTACCTACTTAACGACATTTCAGACAGGTTGCGATTATTAGTGACTTCCTTGGAAACCTGGTGGTGTAATGGTTAAGTTTGGCTGCTAACGAAAAGGCTGGCAGTTCGAATCCACCAGGCGCTCCTTGGAAACCTGTGGGGCAGTTCTACTCTGTCCTGTAGGGTTGCTATCAGTTGGAATCGACTCGATGGCAACAGGTTTTTTTTTTTGTTTTTTTTTTTTTATCATTTAAGTTAAAACAATGAAGAGAGCATCTTTAGTTAAGAACAGTTATTTGAGTTGATGGTAGGAATGTAAACAATTTTTGTTCATGAGTTCTCTTTAGGGAATCAACTTGGCCACTTGAGTATCATCTACATGTCTTGAGTGGACACTCACTTGACTGTGGGCTGTCATCTCATCGAGCCTGTCTGTTGGGGTTCAGTCTCACAGATTTTGAAACTGAATAATGGAATGTCTGCGTCCCCTTTGCAAGACCCTGCCCATACCTCAGACCTATTGATCTAAGTCTTTTAGCTGTGCTAGCTTTTTTGGCACATGCTTCCTTTAAAATAACAGGAAGAATAAAATCCAGTTGAGGTTATTTTTGGAGTATTTTTTTTCTCAGCAAATTAGATTTCTCCCAAAATTGAAATCCAGACCTTTTCTAAATTGTGGCAGTGTGTGAAAGCAAAAAAGTGCATGTTTTGCATTTTCATTTGCAAGAAGTATTTACCAAAACAAATGGAGAAAACATTTAAAAGCATATTTGTCATCCATAAATTTTACATTTTTAAGTGCAGTTATAAATAGCCAGGTTATTTTAAGTTATCCCCAGTTTAATTTTCCCCATGTATATGTTAGTTTAACTTCTTGTTAGCCTTTTTCTCATAGCATCGGCTAGGCAGAGGGGATGAAGTGCTTATTTAGTACCACGCGTTCGCTACACAGACATGGTGTGCTTGAACACAAGGCAAATGACTTTGTGTTGTTAGTCCCAAACAGTAAGATTTGGTGTACTTATGTTTTTCTGTACTATGAATACCATTAGAAAATGAACATTTTCCTTTCAGTAAAACTTAAGAACATCAAATCTTTTCTGAGCACCAAGTGGCTAGGTTGTGAAAGTTTTGTAATAATATGCAACTGAAATACATGATACATTTTAATCTCTTAAAGACTAGTGGGAATGTATCAGCCAGAGTAGCAAATAATTTTTGTTTTCTAAATCAGAGTTATCTGTCATGTTGCAGTATTACGAATGCTGTTGTAAATTGGATTTAAAGTGGTATTAAAAAATTAAAAACTCCTGTTAAACAATTTTTATCTGTTTGTATATCCTACTATAGATTATGTACAAGTAAACACCTAAATAAAATTACACTTTTAACCCTAAAAGCTTTTGTGTGTTTGACCTGTTTTTTTTGAAGAAGAACTGGAGGGTGGGGTGGCGTTTTTAACCTAACATTTACCTTATTAGATGGCAGAAGGTACTATTCTTACTTCCATTAAAATTTCTGCAAAATTTTTTTGTGTAATCAAGGGTTCAAATTGAATTCTTTGAGTTGGGGAACACTGGTATAGTTTTAACTTTCATGTTCAGGTCTGTGATTCATTGCAAATTCATTTTTGTTTATGGTGTGAGGTAGGAATCAAGCTTCTTTTTTTTTCCACATAGATATCTAGCTATTCTGGCCCCATTTGTTAAAACATTTTGGCTTTTTGTTTGTTTGGGTTTTTTTGTTTGGTTGGTTGGTTTTTCCCCCACTAGATTGCTTTGGCACCTTTTTCAGTAACAGTTCACTATATAAGAGTAATGCAGCTGTAAGTGGAATTTTCAAAGCTTTTCTAGTATTTTACCACTAAAACCAAAAAGAACCAAACCTGTTGCCATCAAGTTGATTCTGACTCATAGCGACCCTATAGGAAAGAGTAGAACTACGCCATATGGTTTCCAAGGAGCGGCTGGTGGGTTAGAACTGCTGCCCTTTTGGTTAGTAGCCATAGCTGTTAGCCACTGTGCTACCAGGGCTCCATTTTACCACTAGTAGATAAAAATACAATTGGTTTTTTTGTATAGTAATCTTATGTAACACAGTATTACTAAATTCACTTGTTAGTCTACTAGCTTTTTGTAGATTTGTAGACTTTCCTATGGAAACAATTCTTTCATATGTGGAGAGACACAGTTTCACTCTTCCTTTCTAATCTTTATGCTTTTAATTCCTTTTCTTGCCTTAGTGCACTGGCTAGAACCTCCAGTATAATACTGAACAGAAGTAATAAGAGCAGACAGCCTTGCCTTGTGATCCTGATCTTAGGAGTAACATGTTCAATATTTAGCCATTAAGTTTGATTTTAGAGGCTTTTGTGTAGAAGCTCTTAACCAGATTGAAGAAGTTTCCTTCTATCCTTGATTTCCTGAAAGCTTTTTTTAAATCATAAATGGGTGTTGAATTTTGTCAAATACATGTTCTACATCGCTTGAGATGATCATAGGGTTTTTCTTTTCTAAACTTTTAATTTGATGAGTTACATTCACTGATTTTTTTTTTTATTTCAAGCCAACTTTGCATAGACATGATGCATTATTCTTTTTTATACATTGCTCAATTTGATTTGCAATATTTTTAAGGATTTTTCACTTGTGTTCATGAGTGATTTTGGTGATGTAATTTTCTTTTTTAAAATATCCTTATAACATGTTTGTACCCGGGTCAAGAAGATGGACGTGTTCCCTTTATTTTTTGGAAGGGTTTGTTTAAGTTTTAAATGTTTGATAGAATTCCCCAGTGAAAACATCTGGTCCTCCGGTTCGCTTTCTTTTCTTTTCCTTTTTTTAATATAATAATGTGTTTTCGTTGAAAGTTTACACAGCAAAAAAATTTAGGTTCCCATTTGACAATTTCTACACAAATTTTCAGTGACATCAGTTACATTTTTCATAATGTGTCAGCATTCTCTTTAATTACATTCGGGTGTTCGATTTCCAGTGCTCTAGTTTCCATGCCCCCTTATTTTCTTGTCTTTGCTTCAGAGTTATTGTTACCTGTTAGTCTCATACAGGTGGTTTTTCAACAGAGCACCATGCTCTTGGGTAATATCCTTTATTTTGTGTGCTGATCTGTTATTTTGCTAAAAGGTGTTCCAGTTGTTCTGGTTACCTTTTTAGGAAGATTTTGGATAACAGTTTCAGTTGTTTTTAAATAGGTAGAAGGCTATTTAGATTTTTTGTTTTATATTGTGTCAGTTTTGGCAAGTTGTATTTGTAAAAATTGTATCCATTTCATCTGAGTTACCAATTTTATTGACAAAGTTGTCTGTCGTATTCCCTTATATATCATCTTTCCAAATCCTGCAGAGCGTTCACTCAGCGCACTTGTTATTTGCGTAGTTAGCTTCAAATACAGGGCCGTGATTAGTTAGAGGTGGTGAA